TTTAGAAATAAATAATGGGCAAATGGAGTCTTTAAACGCCTCAGATGTAAAGTTATTCGCTGTCAAAGTGACGCCAAAATGAATGGGAGTCAATAGAAATGCTAACGCAAGTGAAGTTCTGCTACAAGATGGCGGCACCCGGCCGGCTTCAACTTCCGGTCGATGGATTACCCCCTTGTGTTGAGCCCATAGATATTCATGTTTACACCGGTATTGTGCCTGTTATGTGCTATTCACTTTCACACTGTTGCTCAAATATGTTACTTTGCGCACGCTTCATATTATAGTCCTGCAAAGATGACAGAAAATGTACTCACATTTACTGTCCTGCAGCAAAACATGAGAGCAGTCGCGTTTTAGACCAAACATATAATGGTGAGCGACAGTGACCTGGACGCGAATGGTGAGATATTTTGCTAAATAAAACGATCTTGCCAGAAGAATTGCGCGATAACTTTATTATTTATTTTTCCGTCTGTATCATCTCAGTGAGCTTTTATGAGGGTTTACGCATGCGCTGTAAGGTGAATTTGGCGTTTTTAGACGTTTCGGTGTGGATGAGAAACTTTTGGAAGTTTCTAGTGTGGACAGAGAGCATTTTGAAACGAAAACGCCATTTTCAAATGTATCCGGATTAATGTAGACGTAGCCTATGACATCATGACAATGCTGATTGGCTTCTGGCACCACAAGAACGCACCATCCCAAAACCTTTCACTAGTTACTATCCGGAACTGAGACATCACAGAGAGTAGACAAGGAAATATATATATTTAGAAAAAAGTCAATTTTAAGCTTTTAAGAACAACAACAATGAAAATCAGTCATGGGCAAAACATCTACTGACAAAAAAAGAGAATCATTCTGTTTTTTTCCACTGAAGAGGGTAACTTTTCATTATTCAACAAAACAGTAAAAACTATAAATTATTTTTTCCATAAATTATTTTTTGACAAAGACAAGAAAAATGTTTTTCACTTTTTAAACAATTTCACAATTGCTCAGAAGTCCATTTTCACTGAAGTCACTGTAGCAAAAGCATCTGCTAATTAAACACATAAATGCTATGAATATTATTATTATTATTAGTAGTAGTAGTAGTATTAAGTGGCAACATTTGGAAATAGTTTTAGTTTCAAAGAAGGCTGTGACAAAAAAAAAAAGCAATAATCCACAGCAATAGTTCTTGCATAACCTGGGATATATAGCTTGCATTACATTAATTCAATATAAAGATATACTTAGCGTTCAAAAGTTTTGGGTCAGTGAATAAAATACTTTTATTGAGCAAAGACGCATTCAATTGAGCAAAAGTGACAGTAAAAACAAAAGTAATGTTATGAAATATTTCTACTTCAAATAAATGCTGGTTTCCACAAAAATATGAGCTGTTTTTAACATTGATAATAATCAACAATTGTTTCCTCAGCAGCAAATGATATTAGAATGATTTAGAATAAATTGCATCTTATATTAAAATAGAAAAGTTATTTAAGATTTCAATAATATTTCACAATAATGCTGTTTCCGTTGGTATTTTTGATCAAATAAATGCAGTATGGAAATTCCTGCAGGTTTCAGGCTGAGAGCGAATGTGTTCTGCAGTTTGAACTGTTTGTTGAAGTCATATTGCCTTTGGCATCATTAGAGAGAGTTTTCTAGGTCAGCGCGTGAATGTGCTTATGCCTGCACCTCAAATCCCTCTCCTTGCAAATATAAACAAATCCACCTCATGTGTGGAAACGCACAGATGTCAACTCATCTCCTCCGTTTGCTCTGTAATTACCTGTTCAAAGTGCTGCATTTGCAAAAAAACACACACAAACCAATGCAAGCTGCATGAATGCGATTATTGTTACCTGTCCAGGGGCGTCTTTCCTCCAAAGCTCTTCTCTGGACTGTGAGGGGATCATTATTCATATTTTGACTTTTGTTTAATAGACATTTTTCCTGCTTGGTTGGATTTTTTCCACTGAGTGTTTGCCTTCTCCTTGAAGAATACATACCTTAAGAGTTTGCCCAGAATGAGACATCTTAGAAATCAGCATAATTATGGAGGATCTGCTTTCCTCATGAAGATCCAGGTATTTTTAAACGACTCGCTCAGGATCCAGTAAGTTCTAGATCTTAATCAGATGAAAACGCAGCATGTGTCTCCTGTAAAGAAACAACGATGAGTCACAGCACTTTGCCAAAACAGCACCTTTTTCATCATTTCTGTGCTTGTTTTTGGGGGGAAATATGCAGATTTTTAAGTAATTTGATTTGAGCAGTGTTATTGTTGGGGAGAAGCTAGCTAAATTTGGTGTTATTTTACCATAAACCATAAATAAGACACTGATGATACACTTAGTTTCACAGCAGGCAATAATCAAACACGCTCTTCTAAAACGTCATATTTAGCACTGGAGCGTCTGATTCATTTAGAAGTGTATTGGTTTGTTCAGATGGTTTATATTAATGAAACAAATCACTGATGTGTGTCTCTGTGTTATTTTACCTCACTTTCATGGTGATATATTCAGTTAGATGCTACTGTTCAATAATATCCTCTTAACTTAGTGATATAATAATGTTTTTGTCATATTTAGAACAAATTTATCCAATCAAATGCTGCCATCCTAATCATGATTAATTCATTAAAAACAATAACATATGCTAGATGAATGCTCCTCTGACTTAATTTTTATACACAACATATGCATGTATATATTTGTATGTGTAGAAATATATATATATAAATAATCAGATAATATATAAAATCAATTATATATTATACTATCAATTATATTATTAATATAAATATTTCAATATATATAATTTGTTTTTTTATATTATATAAAATATTTTTATATGATTTAATGTTTAACATATCAAATCTTTATTGCAATATATACAATATTAAATTAGATATTTTATTTAAGCTATCATGTCATATCTATTATACATGCACATACTATAGATTTTATTGAATATTTCATATAATATGTGTGTGTGCTATATATATACACAGTATATAACATCATGCCCTGATTTATATAAATTAAAGTACATATATTTATCATATGTTTATATATGTGTAAATGTATATTGCTTATATTATAATTGCTTGGTATGTGCCAGTTGTAATGTGGTTTCCCCAACACATCATTAAATGAAGCTGTGAGTGCAACACTCTTGTTAGTAGCTTATAGCATCATTGCATTAGCCAAGATAACATGTAAGGGATGTGCAGAACCTAATCATTTATGGGCGTCCCAGCTCTCTTTCTGCGGGCGCAGATTCCTCGTGGGTCTGCCAATGACTCGGCACATCTAATTGGCATTCTGCCCCTGTGAGGGACTCTGGGAGATTCACCTTGCAGTGCCAATGCCTGTGTGGCAGACGGAGGAAGAAAACAAAACAAAGACAAAAAGCACACAACGGAGAGCAAACTCAAAAGCGTGAGAAATGTGAGGATCACCTGCTTACGGTGGGCTGCGTGTCAACTCATTATCAGGAGATTCCTCAGATCCAGATTTAGAGTTTTATTCCCAATGGAGTCCAACCTGACAGGACCTCTGAAGTCCAAAGACAGGGCACTTAATTGTTGTCCTGGACTGAGTGAGGAGGAGGACAGAAGAAGAGGGGGAAATAGATGAAGGAGGAGAGAATTGAGCGTATGTACACTGCACGACTCCAGACATCAAGTCTGGGACAGAGGTGCCGAAAACAGCACCAGATCCAACACGTTCAGAGCATCGGCAAATTCACAAAGGCGAATGGTTTCCTCTCACGCTCTCGCCGAAGAAAAGCAATTAGTCAAAGCCTGAGAGCAATCTCACGCTCAGCAGGTGAGCGGCACACACAAGCAGCGGAAGAAAACGGGAATATGTCTGGAGAGAGAGAGGGAGAGAGAGAGACGCAGCCTTCAAGTCATGTCGGAGTGATCGTCTTTACGAGATGAGTGTCACCGCAACGTTGTAATACCCAGCGGGAAACTTGGGATTTTCATAATTAAAGAATCATGGTGGAAACAAATTACTGTTGGCGCTTTTATTTACAGTTTTCCTTCCCATGTTGAATCATGTACGTTGTGAATCAAGACCCTTTTGAACAGTAGTGTATGATTTCTTCATTAATAGTTGAGGCCAAAGTTGGGCTGCTCAAACAAACACATTTGGTGCAACTAGTGCCACAAAAATTACACACTGCATGATTTTTTCTTTTTTTAAAACGTAACATATGGAAAACATTGTTCTAGACAAATATAGTAGCTATTAGCAGCCTTTGCTATGTTTGCTTTTCCGCTTGCGCTCGAAAAAGAGCCTCGTCCCCCGACATCACGCAGCGCACACACACACCAAGGTCGGAAATTAACAGGGGCTTGAGGCAAAAATTCCACCAAAATGAATAAAAATGCTTCCAAAAAACAAGATTTGGTGCAAAAAAAGGCTTTGTATAAGTCCTTGTTTTTAATATTTACAAGCAATATCACACGGACAAAAGTGCTGTTCCCAAATCAGCATATACAACAATTCAATAAACAATAAGTTGACATGCGTATTAGACACAATATTGCAATATTGTTTTTCAATAGTTTCAAACAGTAGAGCAATTTAGCCTCAGTGTGCTTTACAAGAAATTTGAAAAGTAGACGAACATGCACTTCAGATGACGCAAACTCTGAATCAACATGCACCACTGCTACTGCATGCACCACTGTCATAATCATTTGTTAACGATTAAAGTATTAATTACCTCAATGAGCTCATTGTTTCTGCCTTTATTACATTGTTTAAATTAATACATTTTTTGCTAACTGTGATTTTGTTGTATATGTACATTTCTGAAATACATAACTTAGAAAGTTACCTCTGATAACAGATCACTCTAAATTGTAATGTGGACTCATGCATTTTCTGTAAAGCTGCTTTGAAACGAAGTGTATTGTGAAACGCGCTATACAAATAAATGAGAATTGAATTGAATTGGATAATCTCAGATATTCACAACGCCAGCTCAGTTTGCTATTGATCTTTCAAGCCCGACTGGTTGCAGCATAACTTCTGCTACTAGTATCAAAGCTAATTGATGGTGCAAAAGTAAATGTCAGTTTAATAACATTTGCAGCCTCCCTTCTTAAATCTCCCACTTACCGCATTACATATCAGATTCAGAAACCCAAAAAAAAATGCTTCGAAAACTCCAAAAAAACAGCCCATTAGGCAAAGACACGTTCACCTCTCGACTCCAGCTGGGAATAATACACCATGAAGAGATGGTTTAGAAAGCTCCTGTAAGCCTGTGTGTCAATAACATTGACTTCCCATACAGAGAAAGTCAAGCAGAGACGGGGAGATAATGATTTGGGATGCTTACCTAATAGACGGAGAGATCTGGGTCTGCTTTTTCACTGCTCAGTTTTTGCTTTATGATGTGCCGTTTGACAGATGAGTTTAATAAAGAGGCTTGTGGGTAATGACCCAACGGAGGCCTCAATCTGGCAGGAGTTACGGGAGAGAGGAATAAATGCAGAGAAGGCCGCGTAGGTCAGGATCGGTTGCGCTGTGGGATGAGCATTTCGGCCCACTCCATCATGGACATCCACCACCGGTCACGCTACCCTCAGCCTATAAGGCAAGCACGGAATAAGAGTTGGATCAATAGCAAGGAACATATTGACATGGTGTCATTTTAGTACTTCAGAACTGTTCTTCAAATGGGAAATATCCATATTTAGTGGCCCAGACAGTCTGGTCTAGTTTACAACTTATTCTGGACACCATCTGATGGAAATGAAAACGGACCAATCACAGTTTATTTGGTTTGTACATGTCATATAGCCATATTTAAGGATGCACCGATATGAAAAATTTGGCCGATACGATAACCGATAATTCTTTATATTTGAAAGCCGATAACCGATATATATCGGCCGATAAATCTAAATCTGAGTTTTTAATAGCCTGATTACAAAAACAAAAGTCACACCATCAAAATCCATGTCCTAAGCACACAATTATAATGTTCTCATTATAATTTTATGTAGCTTATATGACAGACTTGCACTGAACTGTATTTTCCTTTTTTGAAGTGATTCCAATCATATTTCAAGCAATTCAGTGCGAATCTGAAGTGACTCAGCTGAAGAAAATAGTACATTATTTTATTCTGCTTTTATATATCAGCCAAATTTTCTTATTGGGCCGTTAATGATAGCATTAAAAATGAGCATAAATCGTCCGATACCGATATAATGGCCGATAAATCGTGCAACATTTCAACAAACAAGACAACATTTCTAATTTTAGTTTAGTTCAAGTTTTTCAACTAATATTTACTTGATTTTATTTCAGATTTATTTCAATTGACAGAAATGTTTTTAATAGTTTTAGTTAAAGATAATAACCATTCGTACGATCTCATTCGTATGTTTTCGTACCATACTTATGCCTTGATCCTTACTGTTTTCAATAAATGTTACATTTCCATACAAATCACATTATATGAATTGATATCAAATTGTCATCTTGTAAAATACTTGTTTTCTCATTAGACTGGGTTGGTACATTTGCATATCTAAAAGTATTATGTACAGATCATCGTACAAATCATCGTAACAAAGCGCAATACTGTATTTTCCAGAAAATAAGTCACACCTGGCTATAAGTAGCATTGTTGAGAGAAAAAGCACAGGTAAGTTGCATGGGATACAATCAGGAATAAATGTAAAATACCAGTAAATAAAAGGAAAAGTTCACCAACATTATAAACACTATAAAAATGTATTTTAGTTCCCCTTCACTCCACAACAAATACTTTAAATTTAACTGTATTCAGAACAGGAATAAAAAACACATTATATTACGGTACACAAACATAAAGGATAGCAAACAACATTTACTATAAACGCCAAGCCTAAACTAATTTATTTAAGAGAAAACTAGCAGAGTGTGGGAAATGCACTATTTAAATAAGCTTAAAGGCTCATGCATACTGTTCCTCAACTTTAGCAAAAATCCAAATATTTGCACTTTGTACATGATCTGAGAGCTTGATGTTAATTGCATTATATAAATCGCTTTAGAATAAAAGTCACAGCAAGTTCTAGAAAATACGGTATACTAGTGGATTTCTAGTTTACTTGCTACTAAATGCCTCCAAACAAAACTCTCATTCAAAGATTTGAACCTTGTTAACAAAGTTTGTTCCTTAAACTTTACGAATCAAACACCCACTATTTGTGTCCTATGCATTTAGAATGTTTATAAGACCATCAAATTGTGGTAATATAAAGCTATATTTAAGTCCTCCAGGGGAGTTTGGAAGTCATAGTGAATTTTGGCTGGGGGAAAAAATTTATACATTGGGCAATTTTGTATTTCTTTATTTGTCATTTCACTGGAAGCTTTTAGCACTAATGCAACATAATGAAAAGCAAAGGACGCACATTTGGTGTGCAGTTTTCATTTGCTGCCAGAGAATGAAGGCAAATGTATTTTGGTCGTAAAAGCCTGTCACTTTATAAACTGCCTAAATGAGTAGAGGTTTCGAGAGGTTAGAAAAGCTGTTTAGGTTGTCAGCAGCCCATGCAACGACTCGATTTTGAAGCACTGCTACTCTTAAACCCAAAGTTTCCTACACCAGACAGGCCTGACATTAAGAGCTCCTTCTGTTTCAGTCAGGCCGCCTTCACACTCAATATGCCATACTATTTTCTTCACTCATTTTAATGCTTATTGACAACGTGTGCATTGGAGCTCTTGCTGACGCTGTGGAGAATAGACAGAAGCAGAAGCTGAACTTTAAAAACCAACCTTATGGTCTACTGGCTCTGGGCTCTCTTCAAAAACACTAGGAAGGACGGTAATCGATTCGTCATCACGTAAGGTGTATTAGCCATTCTCTTTCACTTCTGCTGTATCGACACCAGCCCCGAAAAGCAGTATTTTCCTTTTCTCTCCACCCTCTCGATGCAGTGATGACAGGTTTTAAAGCTCTCTGAATGCGGGTTTCCCTGCAGACACAGAAAAAAGACCTTATGAATCGACGCTGCAGTGAACGTCACCCGAGGCTCCATGTTTGAAGATATAATGTAGACTTCGAAGTGCAATATATGTTCAATATATACACTGCTATGTTCATGTCACGTCAGAATTACTGGCAACATTCAAAACTCCAAAATTAATTCATGTGGCTTTGTTGTTGGTGACAGCAAAATACTAAATAATAATTCCCAAGTTAGTTTCACTTTATTTCGATGGTCCACTTTAGACATTCTACTAAATATAAATAACCCAGAAATAACTACATGTCAACTAACTCTCATCAGAGTATCAGTAAACTGTAGTAGACTGTTAGGTTAGGGTTAGTAGAATAAGTTAACATGTAGTTGCAAAGTTACTTGTAGTCAGTTACTTATAGTAATGTCTAAAGTGGATTGTTGAAATAAAATGTTACCCAAATGTTGGGGGTCAGTAAGAGTTTCTTTTTAAAGAAATTAATACTTTTATTCCGCAAAGAAGCATTAAATTGATCAAAAGTGACAGTAAAGACATTTATAATGTTACATAAGAATAATTTGCAAAGAGTTGTTCAAATCAGTATTTTGTGTTGTTTTACAGTAAAAAACTATCCTTAAAATAAAAGAAATAGCAGTAAAGTCGTGTAAGATGAGCAGGTTTTAAGCATAGACCTCACTAAATGTTGTTAGATTTTTGCTTAAAACAAGAAAAAACTATGCCGACGGCATTAGAACAATAAAATGTTTAATTAAGTTTAACAATATAAAATAAAAGCATCTTGTTTTAAGGATCTTTAGAGATTTTAAATGGAAAAAAGACAATTATTTTACTAATGCTAATCTTCTAAATTTGTGATGTAAATAAATACTCATAAAGAGAGTAACTACATGAATTCACTCTGTAAGCTCCAGCAAAACACAGAAAAACAAAGAAAACACACCAGGTAAACACTGTCTATAATAAAGTGATCTTTAACTGTTGAGGCCGCTGCCATTCATGTGAAAAAAAGTCATTTCGTTCATAGAATTTAAACTTGAAATTATGAGTTCAATGAGGACGTGAACAGTTTTAGCCTAAAACTAATTTTTATGGTAATTCCGGCATGAGCACCGATAGCGGCGGACTCATAAAATCAATTAATTGATCTGAACACATGGTGAAATCCACCCACAAAAGGATTCAATCTTAAGACCGGCGGCGTTAGTTGGTCTCAGTAGTTTTTACATCTGTTCAAACTCTCCGGCTCTTGGAAACCATCCAATCATGCAGTGCAAACATATCAAGTGAATTAAAAATCTTCTCTCTCAGCTATCAAGAGCTCCATATGTTTTTATTGCACGAGTCATTATTGCTTCAAGAAGAGTGAATGGGATTTTCATGGTCCTTTCTCAACCCTGCTGAAGAGAAATAAGTGCTGGTTTGTGCTGGTCTAGCTCAAGGGCTCATGGTTTGGCTGGTTAGCATGGGATGTTTATCCTCTGCTGGCTGTATCTACACAATCTAGGGGCAAAAATCAGCAACCAGGGGCGTTTCCTCTGAGGAGGCGAGGGAGGCAGTGCCTCTCCAAAAAAATTGGATGAGAAAATAATCCATATTGAAATGTAAAACCACTAATTTTTCTTTAGTGACACTAGCCGTGCTTCCATTACAGATTCGCACAAAACTTCTGCGATATTTCCTAAATGTCGATAAAAAACTATTGAGAAATTACACCGTTTCCATTAACCGATGTTATGCGACTAAATTGTATTTTCTCCATCATATCTGCTTTAAGGTCTTGACAAATTGTGGCATTTCTTTGTAGTTTAGAATCCAGTATTCCCATAATACTTTAGTCTTTTATAAGTTTAATAAAGAACTCAGTCTCGTCTTCTGTCCAAACATACTGTGTAAAGAAATCGGCAAAGAAATCTGTAGTAGAGGCAAAGGCTGCCCTTCAAATTGGGGATATCGTGGGACAGGTACAGCATGGAAGAGGGGGTTTTGGGCTCAGTTTAGCTCCTCCTAAATGGAACAAGGCAGGCCCAGCTCAAAGGAGGAAGCTGGTAGTCAACGAGGTGCGAAAGCAGGAGGAGAGGATGAGGTGTATAAAGGCCATTTCCCAGGCCAACCAGGGAGAGTGGATGAGATGGGAGAGTGTGGAACAACGTAAGATGGGCTGGCAAGACCTTTGGTCAATGGAAGAGAGTAGGATCAGTTTCCTTATTAGGTCAACATATGATGTTCTCCCATCACCGCAGAACCTAAACCTCTGGGTAGGAGAGGATCCCTCTTGTCCTTTGTGTTCATCACCTGCCACATTAAGGCACATTTTGACAGGATGTAAGGTGGCTCTTAGCCAAGGTCGGTTTACTTGGCGCCATGACCAAGTACTGCGATGTTTGGCTTTAGCATTGGAAGGCAAGCAAAGTATGACCAATAAGTTGCCACCTGTTCTAGCAAAACATTACACGCAGAAGACAATATTCCTCCGCCCAGGCGAGCAACCACCAAGAAAAGGTGTTAACACCAATTCTCGCCCAGGACAACTGGAAGCTGCTAGGGACTGGAAGATGCTGGCTGATCTTGACCAACGGCTTATTTTTCCACCTGAGATTGCCACCACTAACCTACGACCAGATATTGTTTTGTGGTCTGGATCAGCACGCATTGTTCAACTGATAGAGTTAACAGTGCCATGGGAGGATGCGGTAGATGAGGCATATGAGAGGAAGAAACTGCGGTATGCTCATCTGGCCACTGAAGCAGAACAGCGAGGATGGAGAGTCCAGGTTTATCCAGTGGAAGTGGGTTTTGTGGCACACTCTACAACCTGGTTCCTCAGAGACGTCGGATTCAGCGGCCAAGAGTTGCGTCGCACAGTAAAGAACTTATCTGAAGCAGCAGAAAGGAGCAGCAACTGGCTGTGGTTGAGACGGAAAGATTCTAGCTGGCTGTGTACAGGCCGCCACGCTACGGTTTCGTAGAGTTCTTGAAAACTTAAAGAGACTGTTGGTTTATTTGTATACGTTCCTGTGGATTAGGGGTGCACGATATTGACAAAAAGGTGATATTGCGATATCGATAATGAATATTGCGATATCGATATTAATTTCGATATTTTTAAACGTATGTAAAACTACAAAAGTTATGGGAAAACGCATCAAAAAAGATAATAAATAAATAAAACAAGTTCTTACAACATAAGGTTTATTTCAACTGACAGTCATATTGGACTGGTACAACATGAATAAATAAATAATAACCATGTCTACAGAACAGGACATGTTTTACTGGTTGTATGTACACTACAGTGTAAAAAAACAATAAATAAAGAGCAAGTCTACAGAACACACCTGGCCACTTTATGCGTTTTCTGTGATCGGATAGCTATCTGATCGTGAAAAGACCAGGTGTAAATGCCCTCCGAAACGCGTTCGAGACGGATTTGAATCCGATCGCTGAAACCACTTCAGGAGAGGGTCTGGGCCGCATTCTTGACGAAACTGGACAAGTGTAAATGCATCTCATTGTTGAAATCACATATGTAAAATGTACTCCTCCCAAAAACGCTAAAAATGAGAACGTGTTACAGGCTACATGTCATGTTATGGCCAGATATGACGACGCGCACAGCTGCAACACGCATCACCGCAGATGAGCATCTCTTCATCAAGCCAACGTGCAAACTATCGCAAATCAAAGTGAGAGAAACCGATCTCAAAATATCCGAATGCATGCGTTTTTTTCCTGTTTACACTCTCATTGAACACATCCGATCTGTGTCGCATACAAGTAAAAAATCGGAATTGGGTCACATTTCACTGACAGTGTAAACGAGGCCTAAGTCGCAGACGCTTTACACCCAATTATCTTCATTAAAAGTAAATAAACGAAATGATCTTAACAGGGCTGTTGCCGTTCTCTCTTACTGCGTTATTTGATTTTGACATTTTAGCTGATGATCGTAAAATGCAGATCATAACTGTTGCTTTCGGTGACGTGCACTCCATTAAATCTGCATAGGCTATAACGCGGGAATTGAAGATCGGATTTATATCCGTTTTGCAAAAACACATTTATGTGACCAGGTGTAAAAGGAATATCGTTTTGATAAATCAGATAGGTATCCGATCAGTGAAAACGCATGAAGTTGCCAGGTGGCCTGATACTTGTGCGCTGGTGTGTGCGTCGAGCCGGCAAGTGTGTGTGTGTGGGGACTGTGTGGTAGTAGAGCAAGGGAGAAGTGAAAGAGTGACGGCGATTAGCTTTGGAGCGTAGCGACTCAGTCATATTGAGAAAAACAAATCTCCCCTGTTCTTTCTGACCACTGTGGGAAATCTGTAGCATGAAAAGTTAACCCTCTTCTTGATTTCATGTTGTTTATGGAGAAGGAGAATCAGGAAATGAGTCGGGGGAAATGCAACGGTGCATGTCGGACCGGACGCATCATAAACAAAATATTGCATAAATATTGCGAGATTTTCGATATTGATATCGAGCAACGTGATATCGCGATAACAATATTGATTCGATATATCGTGCACCCCTACTGTGGATATTGCGTGAATGACGGGTGGTTGGGCAGATATTGTGTTTTGCGGTAGGTGGTATGCCATACGGAACCGTTGCCACTGAAACTGCATATTAACGCACCAGTGGGGCTCGACAGCCTTAGTCAAACGGGTTGGCGCGTATGGTTGGGTTGCGGAGAGATTGTGAGATTGTGGTTAGGTCTCAGCAGCAGGAGGGATGTAGAGGTCAGTAAGCTGGGCTGAGTTGAGTGGGGGACGGAGGGGGGTGACTTTGGGACGCCAGAGTCACTGTCGAGCCCTCTTGAGGTGTCGTGGGCTAGTCGACGAAACACTGAGGACGGAAGGTGCCCACTTGAAGACCCTAGAGAAGTCCCCTACTTGGCTCAATCCAGGCGGTTGTCGTGCTGGTCCTGTAGTTGCAGCCGTCGCGTGTGCTGACGCGCCAAGTACACTGCAGCCGTTAACGCCGGACAGAAGGG